TAATCCTTAAACCTCTTAAATATATCTCTTGGTATATCATTAACTCAAGCACAGTTCTACTAATACTAACAGAGTATTTACTAAGACCCCAAAAGTGATTGAACACAACACATACACACTTATATATATAAGCTCTAAGAAAACATCTCACTATTTCCATATCTAATGTGAAATAATTAATAGATTTGATTGAGGTGACAGAGTTCCTTTGTTAAATTAAATTTTTTAATTAATTTATCCTTTTTAGAGTCTATGAGCAAGTCATTTGACATATTTTAAAAATTTAATTATCATGATTAAATAAAAAAATTAATTTGTGACTCTTTTTTAGACCTTGCTTAACAATTAGGTTTTTCTTGTTTATACAGTATTAGCTGCTGAAACCTTTATAGTTTTGTTAGCATTCAAAAACCAGTTTCTGAGTATTTAATGGTACCAACAGTCTGAAACAAACAATTCTGAAAACAAACTTCACTTTTTAAAAAAACCTGTTTAGAAAACAAACTTGACTGAACTGGTAAAATAAACACTTTTTTGTCTTTTTCACAAGTTGGTTTACTGTGAAATGGAGTGGTGGGGTGACAGATGAACGTAGAAAATCTGTGGTAGAAGTTAAGTGGGGTATTGAAGATGACTATGAGTCCTAGTTACTGTTTTTGACAGGCAGAATCCTCCAAATATTAGCTATTAAAAACAATTACAGAGGTAGATATAACGGAATATGAATATCCTTCAAAATCATCAGATTTCCTCATATGCAAAAACAGATACTTATGTATTTGAGTTAATTTCTGTACATTCTGATGAGAGCCATGCTGTCTATTTACCTGAGAAAAGAATGCAGTAAAAGGAATTTCTGTTTTCAAAAGCAGTCATCTTCATCATTTTTTTTTTTTTTGGTACTACCAAGTAGGTTTATTTGCACATTATATAATTTCCCTTTTATAATTGAATCTTTTAAATGAACTTTGGTGATGAAAGTAATACTTTTGGACTTTGAGTTCAGTTCTTTTCTATTCCATTGGCTCACTGTGAGGTGGCAGTGGTGTAAAAGTGACTTGTGGGAAACTAATGTGGCACCTCTCCATGACTCAGTCCCATTATGTGTAAAGTGAACTAGACTTCTGCTGAGTACATTACATCTTCTTTATAAAGCACCACTAAAAGTGTAGAACAAAAGCTATCGCTCCAAGCTTGTTGTAAATACGGCAGAAGTTACTTAAGTATCTTTTGATATCTAAAATGGAGGAATGAAAATGAATATGTAAAGACAGTGCATGGCTGCCATTGCTGATCATTCCAATTCAGTTTGGCTCAGATAAGTTCAATATATTTCAGTAGTCCCAATCATGAGTTATTGAATCCCACTAAAATCAAGTGCAATGCAGACACTTTGTTAGGCACTGGGAAATCCAAGGTGAATCAGGTATGGGTTTTGGCCTTGAGGAATTTGGTTCAGTTAAGAGAGTCTTGCAGCTCTGATGGCTCTCTGAAACATGCCAAAAATGGAGGATGAACACATTATGTACAAGGTATTGGAATGGTCTACTTCTGTAGCCATTGTAATCACAATAGCTCACTTTGAAAGACAGAAAAATGACTCCTATTTTCCAAAATAGTAATGTAAGCTCTTCCTAATAATGTAAGTTCCATGATCTTTGTAAGCTCTTCCTAATAATCTAAGTCTCGTGATCTTTCCAATTTCTTAATCTTTAACATAATCCTATTGGTTTATTTGCTTTTTTTTCTTATCCTCCATACTTATTCTCTCTAATCTTTTCCAATTTTCATACTCATTCCACTAAAAAAAAAAGTCCCTCCCATAGATTTCATCAGTTTTCATCAGATGTTAATTGCAAAGCTTTATTGACATCTGCTTCTCCACACATCTAAGGACAGAGTATGCACACATGCCTGCATGTTCACACATACACACATACATTTTCCCACACAGTTAGTTATTAACTAAGTCATTCAGAGAGGCCAGCTCGGATCTAAGTGAGGTAGGAGGCTTCTATGGAAAGTGCCCTAAAATATTCCATTTCTGAGAATATAGTTTGGATAAAATGTTAAATCCCTTAGTTAACTGCCTATCTTTTTCCTTGTGTGTCTACATGGATCCTGATGTTCTGTGGCTAATAGGCTGTGTTTTTTCTTAGGAGACTGACGATCTGTTTTATCTTTCAAGATCCAAAACCCCAGGCATTTTGAACATTTAATATTGGTGGAGTTATAGACTTTTAGGTGTCCTTGACTTCTCTATTATCCAATCGTACTTCTGTTAGATATACCTTTCATAGTAGCTAGCTCTCTGTTACAAGGAATTGGCAGACACAATTTCCTTTGAGAATGGGCTGTGGCATTAAGAGACTTGATTGAACCGGACTCATTTCCTCGTTTTTAACCTTGAGTAAATTGTTTAAGCTGGCTGTACATCAATTTCCTCATCTGTAAAAGATATTAACAATATATACCTTATAGAATTCTTCTCTCCTAAGGGTGCCTTTACTGACTAATGCTACTGTATTCACATAGGTAAGTATAATATATAGTGTATGATAGATTGCTTTGTAAATAGTAGTCTTTATTTTGTATTTATTTTTTTAAAGATTTTACTTATTTATTTGAGAGAGAGAGAGTATAAGCTGGGGAGAGAGGCAGAGGGAGAGGGAGAAGCAGACTCCTGTTGAGCAGGGAGCCCTATGTGGGGCTCGATCCTGGGACCCCTGAGATCCTGGGATCCCCCTAGTGCCTCAGTAGTGGTCTCTAGTGTCATGGGTTTATGTTGTTTTTTTCCTTCCTGCTCAAATGGATTTTGAATTATTTAAGAACAAAGATAGACTTTATCTCTTTTTGTCCTTTGTGAAGTGCTTAGTACATCAGTAGGCATTTCATATGTGGTTCTCAACACCAGAGGAGAAAACATAGTATACTCTTGATTATTGTTATGGAAACTTTAGTCAGTCTGTCAAAAAATATTTGATTGCCATTGGTGTTCCAGGAAGGGTGCTCTGGGTGTGGAGGATATATAGATCTTCCTCAAGTTATGAAGGGGTTACCTCCTGATAAAGCCATCATACATTGAAAATATCATTAAGTTGAAAATGCATTTAATACACCTAACTTACAAGCATCATAGCTTAGCCTGGACTACCTTAAACGTGTACAGAAGACTTACATTAGCCTAAAGTTGGGCAAAATCAACTAACACAAAGCCTGTTTTGTAATAATGTGTTGAATATTTCATATGACTTATTGAAAGTGAAAAACAGAGCAGTCCTAAGTGTGTTGGTTATTTATGTTTGTTGTGGTCACGTGGCTGACTGGGAGTTGCAGCTTTCTACAGCTGCCCAGCATCATGAGAGAGTATCATGCTGCTTAATACTAACCTGGGAAAAGATCAAAATTCAAAATTCAAAGTACAGTTTCTACTGAATGTGTATGTCTTTTGTAGCAATGAAAAGTTGGAAAATTGTGTCAAACCATGGTAAGTTAGGTACTCTTTGTAGATGTAAGCAAGATAAGGGTTTCCACTTTGAAGGAGATAACATTGGGTGAGGATAGAGACAATAAACATAAAAATAGTAATTTCAGATATTGATTATTACTGTGCAGAATGTGCAACAGTATGCTTGATAATAATTGGCCTTGGTTGGGAGGAGACATTGGAGCTGAGACCTGAATACTGACTGAGAAGTGAGCTATGAGAAGATCTGAGAGAAGAGATTTCTAAGCAAAAACAATGACAAAATCCTTGAAAAATAAACTGGCATGTTAGTTGAATGGTAGGAAGAGCAATATAGCCAGGTACAACAAATAAAAAAGAGGATGGAGATAATGCCTGGAGAAGGGCAGGAGCCAGATCATTTAGGGCCTTGTAATCAAGAATAGAAATATTGAACTTTCATTTTAGTGGGAAAGCTTTAGAGAATTTTAGGAGGAGACCTGACGTGATCTGACTTACACTGTAGAAAGATAAGTGTTTGCTATGTAGAGGGCGAACTGTGTTACAAGAATTCATGGAAGTGGGAGACCAATGAGAAGCTGTTAATGTGTTCCAGAAAAGAGATGGAGGTGGCTTGGATTAAACAGTAGCGGGGCACATGGCGAGCAGTAGATTTGGGGTATGTTTTGGAGATAGAGCTGTTAGGACTTGCAGATAAAGGGTATGATGAAAAGAGAATTAAATAGATTCTTGGGTTTGAAACTTAGAGGAGAAATGGATTTTTTGGGAAGGGAGAGCAATAGTTCTATTTTGGCTCTGTTGCAGTTGTTGTACATTGGATATCCTAATAAAGATGTCAAGTTGATTGTTAAATATACGAGTTTGGATAGCAGGCTAGATGTCTGGGTTGAAGACCCACTTAAGGGATTTGAAGTTGCCAAGAATGCTGGTAGAAGTAGTGGTGAAGGGGACCCTGTAGATTGTAAGTGAGATCAATTTTAAGTGTGACAAGGAGAGCAATAAAGAATTTTGAGGGGTGGTAAGGTCTGATGACATGTGCTTCTAGGAAGATGGGATCTTTGGGAGAGAATGAGAAGACACAGGTTGGAAACTGCACTAGGGAGCAAAAAGAAAACTCACCTGGTGGCAATGACTTGTACGGGTGGAAAAAATAGCCTTTCCTGAGGGCAGTAAGAGCCATGTCCTCAGGGGATAGGCAGGTGAGGTTTTAGGTTTGAGGGTATAGGTGGGTTTTCAAGTCAGAATAAATGAACTATTAAGCACTATGTGGCAGAAGCAAATGTTCTAGCTTATAAATGCATATTAACTCACATGATACAATAATCCTATACTATAGGCACTATTATTAGTTGTTTTTTATGAATAAGGAAATGGAGAAGTTAAGCAATTTGCTTAGGGTCACGCAGGTGTAAGTGACAGGGCTGGATTTGAATTCTGGTAAACTTGGTTCTAGCTGGTTTTCCAGATGTTAACACTTGCCTATATTGCTGCTGTGGACCATGATTTCCAACACACAGCCAAGGTGTTTAGGAAGGAAGTGAGAGACACGGTGGGGCCAAATTAGAGTCTATACAGCATTGAATTAAAATTTTTATATTGATGGTTAATCTGGAAAATTTGGACTTCTGATGGTGACTTTAGAGTTTGATGAACTTTTTATTTTAGCTCCAAGAGCATCTTGAAGATTTTAGATGGCTATTTTGCTGTGGTTTGATGTTTTGCTGAGATATGGTGGGTAAGGAGAATTTTGAGGTATCTGGTGACCCCACTGAGAGGAGACGTTGAGCTATATTCTTGTAGCATTGGCCTGCCATGTTACTACTGTCTTGTAGAGAGCTTGTTTGATGTTCTTGAGCGAACACTGTATCTGCCAGTTTGTTTCTGGCCCTGAAATTCAAGCATTTTTGTAGTTCTCATCATTTGATATTGTTAAGGCAACTGCTTTTGGCTACAAAATTTGGAATAATACTAATGACACTAAAAAAATGATAGAAGTTGATTTTGATTGTAATGGTAAAAAATTTCATATTTTTTTCACAAGGGTACTTGCAAAATTTTGAGCAGTATATTTTTTCTGATGATAAAAGTATTATCATTTTTGGGAAAATTTATAAAAATTTCACTACCCTGAGAAATAAAAACATTTTATTTCTCTTATATTTTAATATAATCTCATTCTTTATGTAATATAACAAAAATTGAATCCTATTGCATATACAGTTTTCACCATGTGTTTTTTTTTTCACTTCACATTTTCCATTTCGTGAATGTTTTCCTAGATCATTAAGTCCTCCTCTCAAATCTGATGCCTAAAGACTGTGTATAACTGGTTTGTTGAATGGACTGATTTTGGTAGCATCTAGCGAGGAACCTTTTGCTTTATGCTTCAATCAAAATTGTTTAATTTTTCTTTCCAACCTCTTAGGTAGGTCCCATTACTTTCTGGTTATTTTCATCTGTAGGAATGGTCTCATTTTCAGAAATTAAAGTACTGCCCAGTCTAAACTAAAAACATCCAATTCCCTGTTCTCTTTGCATCTGATTCAGTCCTGACCACAGACTTAATAACCTACAGTGGAAAAGAGGAACTCCCCTTTGCTTACCTTATTCTGCCTCAATTTGTGCTTCCATTTCTCCTTCCATGCTCACTCTGCCTCTTCTGGGTCTTCCAAAGAGGGAGTGGGGAGACATTTAAAGAAGAAAAGCAAAATTTCTTTTTCCTTAGTGTTCTGCGTACTTCTTTGCTTGATGCTTTTTGTAGTGCTCTCTTGCCTTTCACTAGCTGGCTTTAATGTCCTCAAGTTCACTGTAGAGCCTCCTGAGGGCAGTCTTCTTGCCATGTCTGTAATGGGAGCTGCACTCCGTGCATAACCTTTTGTGAATGCTCTAGCTTTTTTCCCTTCCTTACTTTCATATCTTGTGTATCTATAGCCTATGACAGTGAATGTCCATTTACTGTGGTGGTAGTCAACATTCCTTGCAAAATAGGAATGCTGATAGTCTGGCCACCGACTTTTTTGTCTACCTGGGCAATGCGAAATACCACGTATCTGTGACTTGTCAGTAGCAAAAGTGCTACTTGCTCAGTAACTGTCCTCTTTTTTTTTTTTTTTTTACTTCCCATCTTCAGACTTTATATATTTACACCTGGAATCCAAAGGACATGCATCAGATTTTTCTCTCAGAGACACTCTCACTTCTCTCTAGAAGTGGGACTATCCTCTACAACATAGACATTTTGAGATGGGACAGTCTGCATTCTGCAGAAATGCAATGCCACAGTCCCCTTCTTATAACTCTTTAGTCTCTATAAGTAAAGACAAACTTGGACCCCTCCACCCCCACTTGACTTGACAGAGGAGAGGCATTTTACTTCCCTATACTTTGGAGATGAAATGAGAAAACAGTGTTCTCTATACTTACAAATTTTTTTTTTAAGTATTTTGATCATGAATCTTTAGCCTTATCATGTATAGCCTAAAGATGAGTGGTAAGGACTGCTAGTTGAAGGGCCAGTTTGGTCACCTCTTGGTAAATACTATGGGGATATGTTTAGAAACTTTTCTTGAGGTTTTATAGTTGAAATGAGATACCAGGAAAAGTCACATTCCTTGCTATACTTGCTAGTATTTTATTATATCATTTAGTAGTTTGAGCAACTTCATAGTGAATATTGCTGGTCAATATGGCTCCTTCATAGAGGAGCTCCAAATAATCTCCAAGGGAGTGGCAAAAAGGAGGAACTGTTTATCCTATAGGAATGGAATTTGAAGACCTGGGGCTCAGCTCTGCTTCCATTAGTAACTAGATGAGTTATGTCAGGCAAATCACATACATTCTCATGGATTTATCTTTAAAATGAGAAAGTTAGACCAAAGAATCTTCAAGATTCCTTCTCTCTCTGAAATTGATGTGTTTCCAAGACACTCTTTCTTTCTTTTTAAAGATTTTCTTTATTTATTTGAGAGAGACAGAGAGCGCAAGTGAGAGCAAACACAAGCAGGGGGAAGGGTAGAGGAAGAAGGAGAAGTAGACTTCTTGATGAGCAGCGAGCCTGACATGGGGCTCCATCCCAGGACCCCGGGATAATGACCAGAGCCGAAGGCAGTTGTTTAACTGACTGAGCCACCTACGTACCACTAAGGTGTTCTTTCTGTTAGAACTACACCACATTAGGACTTGTTAACAGATTACCCATGGAAGTGGAACTTTTGGATAGAGCCCATACCATATCATCCCATCCATCCCATCCATCCCATCCCATTCATTTATTTTTTTCATCAGCTCACTCATTTAACAAATACTACTCTGTATACATGAATCCAGTCATTGCACCAATTTCACACACAAGATAGATAATGTAGCTTTTTCATTAAAGAGGGGAAAACAATCATAGTTTGAGAAACTGTAGTTAAACAAATAAGTAAAATTGTAGATGTAGATTCTAAATATAGTTCCTGGTACATAGCAGTTGCTTAACAAATATTAAGGGCAATTAAACCAGTTGAACCTATCCTGAGGGCTCCACTAATTGTGTCATATTATTGCTAAATTCCTGGTGATTTGTGGGTACTCTTAGTGCTTTATTAATATAACTTAATTATGTAATATCCTCATCATCATCCATTTAGCTCCTTGCTCTTGTTGTAAAACTAGACCTTTTGCTTATTAATGGATAATTCTTACTGGTTCTCCTATACATGCACTTACTCATTGAAGAACATTCTGAATTAAATGGCTTTGGTTCACAATTTCTGTTGCTTTTGTAGTTTTCTAGTTTATCTCAAACACCCAATGTACGTTCAGGTGAAGAATCATAGGAAAATATTAGGATCAATAGACAATGAATTCATAGAAAAGTCTAGGAAACTCTATAGTGTTTTCATATATCAAATATTCAAATTAAAAGAAGAAGCATTTGCATTATTGGAGGAGACTGATCAACAATGTTTTTCATCACTCAACATGTCACTTCATATATGTGGGTCATTCCTACCAACTAGGCAGGCCTCAAAAGTTATAAATCCTCTTTGTCCAGATACAGATTAGAGCTTACAAAACTAATGTTTTATGGTTGCTAGTCTGTCTACATTTAACCCGTGGTTGGTTTAAATGATAGAATTAGATGTTGCTCAGAAGAGAGGTCAAATTGGATTCCCACTGGGAGGTGGGAGAGCCCTTGCCATTTCATATGCATGTATAGCTGTGTTGTTCTTACTGTCTTTTATATCTACCCCATCTTTTTCCATTTCCCTTGCCACTACCTTAGTTCAGGTTTTAAGTTATTTAATGCCAGAATGATTATAATTTGTTTTAATTAATGATGTAGATCAGTTTCACCATTCCAGAGAATAAACCTTCCTTCCAAGATGTTCTGACTATCAAATCTAGAGTAATTAAAGATTGTTTTGTTGGCTGTGGCCTTTACAGAATTCAACATGTGACAAGATGAAGGAAGCAGTATTTTTTACTTGTCCACTACATTTGCAAAGTAATACAAAGGAGCTCCACAGCTTTTTCTCCCTTACAAGTTAAAAACATAGCTAACTGGTAATTTTTCATGCTTTGTTTCAAAATATAAATAGAAGAAAATTTAGTAAAATCTATAAAGCTGTGATTGCTGATATTAACAAGTATAATCATGACTGAACAAAATTGTATCCACTTGAGAATTTTATGCCATCTTTACATGGTTTTAGTATTTTTTAATTGCTTTTTTATTAATTTCAGAGGTAGAATTCAGTAATTCATTAGTTGCATATAACACCCAGTGCTCATTTCATCCAGTGCCCTCTTTAATGCCCATCACCCAATTATCCCTTCCCTTCACCCACCTCCCCTCCAGCAATCCTCAGTTTGTTTTCTAGAGTTCAGCATCTCATGGTTTGTCTCTCAATTTTCATCTTACTTTATTTTTCCTTCCCTTCTCCTATGTTCATCTGTTTTGTTTCTTAAATTCCACATGTGAGTGAAATCATATGGTATTTGTCTTTCTCTGACTGACTTATTTTGCTTAACATAATACCCTCTAGTTCCATCTTTTCTTATGTAGGCATTGTGGAGCTTGAACTCAACCTTGAAATCAAGACCTGAGCTCAGAGGTGCGTGGATGGCTCGGTCAGTTAAGCGGCTGCTTTCTGCTCAGGTTATGATCCCAGGGTCTTGGGATTGAGCCTCATGTTAGGCTCCCTTCTGCCGTCCCCCCGGCTTGTGCTTGCGTGCTCTCTGTCAAATAAATAAATCTTTAAAAAGTTAAAAAAAAAAAAAAAAGACCTAAGCTGAGATCAAGGCTTGGATGCTTAATGTGCTGAACCATCCCAAGTGCCCCTACATGGCTTTAGTATTGTTAAATATTCATGCTTAGTTTTTTTTTTTTTTTTTTCCCACAATTTACTGTTTTAATAACTTTTCATCACTCTCCCTCTTAACGGTGTATCTTCTGGTACTTAAGTTTTTTTAAAATTCTCTCCTTTTCATTTATCCTTACTTGTTGCCAAATCCTACTGTGTCTTTCTCATTAATGCTTCATATTGCACTTTCCTCTTACCCTGCCCCTAGCAATTAACATTACCTTCCCTCTAGTTTTGGTCTTTACTATTTAATTTACTTTGCTGCAGTTTCTTCACTAATGATCGCAATAAGTAACATTGTTATGGTTCCGTGAGTGACTACTCATGTTTTCTTACTTGAGCCTTCTGATCAGTTTCTTGTTATTTCTATTTTAAAGATGACAAGACATAGACTCTGTAAGTATCAGAGAATAATAAGTAAAAGAGCAGGGACTAGAACCAGGTCTTCTGGTTTCCAGTCACGTGCTCTTTTTATTATGCCCTCTGCCTTACCTTATCTGATATCCCTCTCCAGTCTATTTCATTGCTATCAGATTGTTCTGTCCTAAATCATTGCTTTGAACACATCCATACAGGTCTCTTTGTCTTCTTGCCCTTATGTATCTTAATTGTATTCTTGCTCCTATGTATCTTTATCATTGGGGTTTGGCTGCTTAACACTTGCAGATTTATCAAGTTCCCAGATGCTAGGACAGATCCCGTTCTGAAATACTGAGCCATCCTGGAGCACCACAGGCTTAGAAGTTCAGGCCGAGCACTGGGTGTGGTACAAAAAACAATGAATACTGTTATGTTGAAAATAAATTAAAAAAAAAAAGATGATTAAAAAAAAAAGATACTATAGTCATGGGCTGGCACAATGCCTGGCATATGGTGGCCACTTAATAAATATTTAAAATTTAAAAAAAAAAAAGAAGTTCAGGCCGACTTGACTTTTTTATGTTTTCATTTCTTATACTCAGCACAGGCATAAACTTTTTTTTTTCTTAATGAATTAAACCCTTTATTACTAGAACTTCCATAGCTTGATTCCAGGAATTAAACTTTTGGCCATGCCTTGTATCACTATTCCAATAATTTGTACTCTGTCTTATTGCTCCGTGTGCCTTGGTTACCGCCTTTGTTTACTGCTGAGTTCATCATTGAACTTTCCCTTGAACTAACATCAACAACAGAAACAACACTTGTATTCACAGATGTTTAGCACAGACCCTTGTATATAGTAAGTAGTCTTTTTTATTTTATTCATAACTGGATCACCAGTATCTGGAACAGTGATTAATTCAGAAGAGACCTTCAGTAAGTATTTGTTGACTGACTCTATTTTCTGTAATAAAATAAATCTTTGTGATTGAGTATCTGATATCTGCCAGTATATTTTCCCTGATGCTGAGTATATCTGTTTAGATTTCTATTTGCTGCTTGACCTCATACTCCTAATGTTTTCTCCCTACTGCTAGGCCCACTTAAGCTCACCTGCCTTTTTTTTTTTTTTTAAAGATTTTATTTATTTATTTGACAGAGAGAGATCACAAGTAGACAGAGAGGCAGGCAGAGAGAGAGAGAGAGAGGGAAGCAGGCTCCCTGCTGAGCAGAGAGCCCGATGTGGGACTCGATCCCAGGACCCTGAGATCATGACCTGAGCCGAAGGCAGCGGCTTAACCCACTGAGCCACCCAGGCGCCCTCACCTGCCTTTTTTATAGATTTCTTCCTATTTCATGGTGGTGCTTACACTCCCTGATTGTCAAGACCCTGTGGATCTATTTGATCTCTAGGTCCTATGCTGAACTGGATCCGATATTTACCAAGACTGTGTAAAATTCTTTAATAGATAATTAAAATGTATTTAAAAAATACTTTTTATGTTTGCACTACCTAATTGTCAACCAAATATCAGCTAGATTTTTTAACAATAAGGCATGAGAGATAGTGATGTAATAGCAGTTAATGGTCTCATAGTGATCATTTTCCTTCTGATTTCTGTGCAACTGTACTTTTATAATCAAATAATCTGTGGGGGAAGAGAGAATAAAGAAGACAATTTGGTGAAATATAATCTTCATATTACTATCCCTAGCATCAGAAAGAATAATTATATTTAAATCTTCAAAGTGAAATGTTTTAAGAATATTGAATGATTTAGAATGTTGCTGTTATGATGTAAAGAAAAAGAAAATGTCAAGTCAGATATCCATGCTTTTTTTAAAGGAGGTTGAGCTATCCAAATCAGACCCCAAAAGCAATGCCACATTTTTATTTAAGATGGTATAAAATGATAATCTTAAATATTTCAGCCGATTTGTTATATATATATGTTAGTTTTCTTTTAAGGTTCTTACAGAGTAGAGGTTTAATTAAACCCTTTGTAAAATGAAAACATATAGTATGTTTATGCCCATTTTGTGACTGTTGATATAACACTTTTATTAGCTTCAACAAATAGGTTTATTATGTTTGTTTTATGCATTTTGTTGATCTTATTCACCAGGACTATCAAATATTACATCTTCCTCTAGGAAAACACTTCTGTGAGACATTTACATTTTAATATAGTGTTAATTCCATATGTCACATTTAATGGTGGTGTTTATCATTATGGCAAAAGAAAAAAAGGACATGGCTTGGATATATTTTTTATTTTTATTTTAAAAAATATTTTATTTATTTATTTGACAGAGAGAGAGAGACAGCTAGAGAGGGAGCACAAGCGGGGTGAATGGGAGAGGAAGAGAGAAGCAGGCTCCCCGATGAGCAGGGAGCCCAATGCGATGCGGGGCTTGATCCCAGGATCCTGGGATCATGACCTGAGCTGAAGGCAGATGCTTAGAGACTTAGCCACCCACGTGCCCTGGCTTGGATATATTTTTGTATCCTATGTTATGTATTTGATTTTATTAGTTTCTATTTCATGATTAGTTTTGAAATAGTTTGAATTAGTGTTTCCTTGTAAGACTTAGAAATTGTTATCTGTCAGAACTGATTTTTTTCTCTTAGAACAAGAAGTGAGGTATGACAGTAGGCATCTGTCTGGACCACATTTTCTTCTTGTCCCTAAGGAACCTCTTTTAAAATTCTGTGTGTTCAAAAGGACCAAAGATTAGATGATGATGTTTTGTTTTTGTGAATAATACTGAATAGGTAGGAACAGGAGGGAAGAATTGACTAATTGTTTCCAAAATGAGAGTAAGAAACTGGGCTTGCAGTTTATCTGTTTAAACTAGAAACAAAGATTTTTTAGATACTATATGGTCAAAATAATAAAATTTTGTTTATCCTTTTTGGCACCTTCCCAGATGCCGTATTAATTTTTTAAAAGAAGTTTAGGGGCACCTGGGTGGCTCAGTAGGTTAAGCCTCTGCCCTTGGCTCAGGTCATGATCTCAGAGTCCTGGGGTCGAGCCCTGCATTGGGCTCTCTGCTCTGCAGGGAGCCTGCTTCCTCCTCTCTCTCTGCCTGCCCCTATGCCTAATTGTGATTTCTCTCTTTCTCTCTCTCTGTCAAATAAATAAATAAAAATCTTAAAAAAAAAAAAAAGTTTAGATAGGTCAAGATTGATGTTTGGCCTGAAATATTGGGAAGCATTCCTAAAAGATTTGCCATATTAATGGTCTCAAAACAAACAAAGGAATAAATTTTATAAGTATTTGCAAATTCAGATTTCAAAATCATCATATAGGTCTTCTAAAATGATGGAAGGATGAATTCATGTTTATTTTAAATGTATTAATTTTCCTCATTTTGTAAATTTATGGGCATTTTTCAGCACTCTGGCAAAGAGTATATAACTGTGTAACACTTATTAAAATGAACAAGTAGTTTTAAGGTAGCATTTTATTATTATTTTTTAAAAGATTTTCTTTCTTTTTTTTTTTTTTAAGATTTTATTTATTTATTTCACAGACAGAGATCACAAGTAGGCACAGAGACAGGCAGAGAGAGAGGGGAGGAAGCAGGCTCCCCGCTGAGCAGAGAGCCCAATGAGGGGCTCAATCCCAGGACCCTGGAATCATGACCCGAGCCGAAGTCAGAGGCTTTAACCCACTGAGCCACCCAGGTGCCCCAAAAGATTTTTAATTCTTTTTTTTTTTTAAGATTTTATTTATTTATTTGACAGAGAAATCACAAGCAGGCAGAGAGGCAGGCAGAGAGAGAGAGGAGGAAGCAGGCTCCCTGCTGAGCAGAGAGCCCGATGCGGGGCTCGATCCCAGGATTCTGAGATCATGACCTGAGCCGAAGGCAGCGGCTTAACCCACTGACCCACCCAGGCGCCCCAAGATTTTTAATTCTTAAGTAATCTCTGTGCCCAGTTGGGGCTTGAATCCTCAACCCCACGATGAGGAGTTGCCTGCTCCAGCAACTGAGCCACCCAGGCCACCTCTAAAGTATATTGTTATAATTGTTTTGTTGTATTGTCCTTGTTAATCACTTACTGTGCCTAATTGATAAATTAAACATTATTATAGGTAGGTATGTGCAGGAAAAAAGATAATCCACATAGGCTTTGGTACTATCTATGGTTTTAGGTACCCATTGGGCAACTTGGAACTCATCCCCATGGAGAAGGAGGTCTCCTGTAGGTGAGAAATGATGGAATGCAACGTACAAGTGAGAGATTGACTTTTGGTAGGAACAGAAATGTGTATTTCACTTTAACAGTATCGAAAGCAAAGTATGAATATATTTGGGAGTGGAAAGAGAGTTAAGTTTTATTTCCTTAGCTTGTATTTTCTTACTGAGGTAAGAAACAAAGGGATTCATTTAGAGTGGGGTTGGAAATGGAGGAGAAGCAGTGTAATTGTTATTTTAGATAGTGGTTGAATGAACTAACAAGGGATATGGGTGAGCTGTTTGGTGGTGCTTAGGGCTCATTTGAGGATTGTGATCATAAATTTAAAGTGTGGACTGTGGAGGCAAGAGAGAAAAGGGAGGTAGGGAATTCAACATCTTTGAGAAGGAATAAAAAGTGAATTAACATGGTGATGCCAGAAAGGAATAAAACAGTCTTTTCCCTTGAAAAGCTCAAAGTTTTCCTGCTTCATTATGTGATAAACACCTAAAAGCATATACAAGTAAGCAAATGATAAATGTCGGATGATCACTTAGACAACAGGCCTTGTTCTTCAAAAGAGGGAGCAAATACTTGGGGGCAACATGGGAGGTGAGCTTTTGTGGCTTTAGTGGGAGGTGAGCATGACTGGGTGTTAAAGTGTGTAGCTGCCAAAAGGTTGATCATTTAGCATCTCTTTGGTCTCGATACTGTACTTTTCTAAAAATCCAGTCTTTGAATTCCTTGCCTGTGGGTTCTATTTCTTGTGTACTTGAGTGGTTAGAGATAAGAATTTGTCTACTTTCTTCTAATGTTACTACTACTTTACAGTCATCCTTAAATGAAGTATAGTCACATTGTAATGACTTTGAATTATCTTCATTTTCTTTTTATACACCAAATCTATTACTTGGAAATTTGTTGAAACTTAGAAATATTAAT